TTATCTGATGTGTGGGTGCAAATAGAACTTGAAGCCTCCCCTGGACTGCCCCAAAGAACCGGCAAAGGCATCCAAAAGCGCGGGGTAATTTTTACCCCCAAGATTTTCTAAAAGCAATGGCAAGCATTTCTTGCATTTTTGATGTGTGGGTGCAGCCCCCATCCGGGTCTTGAAGTAGTAGAGGACTGCAATGAAGCGCCACACAGTAAGGTGTCCCTGTCTGCCCGGCCGGGTGTTTCTCTGAGCCTGTAGCTGTTAAGAAAGACAGTAAAAGACACATCATGCATTCAGTGGAATGGTGGTATGCACCACAGCAATAAGCGAAGCGGCGCAGCTGGGAGTTGAACCGCGGGGGGGGGGTTAGCTTGATATATCAATCTTTAAGGCACGCAGCCCCTCCCACCACAACATTGCTAAAGCAAAGAAGAACTCAGCTAGCATGCTAGCTTTCGTGACAAGAGGACGACAAGGCCTAGCCACGGAGTTGACAGAGTTCAGGGGCGCGGCCAAGAGGAGGACAAGGCCCAGCCACAGAGCCCAGCCACAGAGCCCAGCCACAGAGTTGACAGAGTTCAGGGGCGGCCAAGAGGAGGACAAGAGGAGGACAAGGCCCAGCCACAGAGTCCAGCCACTGAGTTCAGGGGCGCGGCCAGTGAGTGTGGCCAGCTCTTTTCTTTCTAAGATAGAACCCCAACCGTAAACTGTTTGGGGAACAATGTTTTGGTGATGTCGTTTTATTTGATGTGTCTTCAAGACCCAAAAGAATGTATATGTTGGCAGGAATATGTTGGGTGGGTATAGTCACTGTTTAATGCAGCCATCAATGTTCACGCCAGAATAAAGTCTAGTGACCAAAGTGGTTCACAAATGTTCAAGCAAGTGCACGGTGACAGCCTGCAGCCCTTGAAGCCCGTTCGCACAAATGTTGCACGGCCACTTTCTGGAACCTGGCATACTTATTGACTGTTTGGTGAACCTGGCATTGTTGGTGTCTGGCCCAGTTCAGTCACATGACAGAATGACGCTGCAGCGATGTCTGCTTGTGCTTTACGGAGTCCCTCCTGCCGCGATTTCTATGGGTCGGACTTACCAGGATTTCATGCCCATTCGCAAGAGATCCGCTGATTAAGAGCATCTGGTTCTTCTCAGTTCCCTTCCTCCGAAAGGGCGGCTGCTTTTGAACTCGGTAGTTCTTTTTCAACCAGCGTCCTTGCACATAGCACCGCTCTGAATTTGCACAGTGAGTGGCGCGATTTCCCTATTCGTTGCAAAAACAAAACACTTTGTGTGGAGGCCTCACCGCTGTCTTCAATCCTGAGAAGGAGTAGTCACAGCCTTCAAGCAATACCTTGAATGGGAGTGTCACACTGTCAACAAGGCATTGCAGACAAAACTCAAGCACTTGCACCTGGCCTTGTCTCGGGTCTTCGACAAGGGTTTCGGGAGTGGGTGAACCTGTGCATGGTTTCTTGAAATTTGTGCCTTGTCTTTTTGAGACACACTTGGCAAGTTGCAGTTCTTCCACCTTGGGGTCACCATCTTTTGCTAAACGTTCCAAATGAGGTCCTCCAGGCACCTGTTGCGATTGAAACGTGCACTGTTAAGCTGTCAAACCGTTCAGGCAAATTCAAGCGGGCACCTGGGTAATTCCAAGCACCCGTGCCTGGGAATTTGTTCCAACAATGACATTTTTATGTTGACTTATGACGATGACATATCAAATCATTTATTAGCTGCACATCCCAAGGGGCACGCAGTTTTGTCAAATGCCTCTCCAATTGAATCGTCAATGGTGCTTCCCAAGATCACATGTTGGCCAACCTTTGTGAACCAAAAGCAAGTAACAGCCTCTCGCATCCTCCTCGGAAAACACACTGGGTTTCAGACACCTCTAGTCAACACAGCCATGTTGTGCCCACCAGAAACTAGCAACCTGGCATCCGAATCATCTTGAAGTCTCAAATTTACACGTTCCACAGAAATCCCAAAGCGTGAAAAGCGCGCGTCAGGATTGGGAACGCGGGCCCACAGAAACCTGACAGTTTCGGGCAATGTTTTTTTGATACGCCCTGCCCCCCCCCGACTTCGTTACCAGTACTTCAAGCAATGCCTTCTGCTGGCGTCGGCGATTGTGGCAATCTCGTCACCTACGAACGGAAAAATTGCATTTCATGGCATTTCCCACTTGACACGGTTTGCCAATCGGGATCAATCCGGCAACTGAGTCATGTGCCATCATGTGCGCTTCCATATGATGAACACGTACCTGAATTCAGTGGCATTCTTCAGGGGATCTGATTGGCTTCACCGCGCTCAAATCAAAAGTTATGCTTAAAGGCGCCACAAACAACATCGCCGTTCAAACTGGGGTGACGCACCAAAGGTAATCTGTATTCTGCTGCAATATGCAAAGCCTGGCAAAAGATTGGCCAAACCACTCTGGTTGGCCTACAAGTTTCTTCTCCAGCGCCTTGCGCACACCGACTTCAAGACAAAGCCCCAAACCAGGTCCCACCTCAGCTTGGTTCGATCAAGCCCTTTGTAGGATTCAGCTTGAAAGGAGCGGACAGTGACCGCCACGCCAGAGAGCTCTGCCGCAGAGATGCCTCGGGAGGACATTGTCATTTCATGCGAAACCGATTGTCGCGATAAAGTGCTTCCGACCTGCTCTTCGCAAGGCTTCTTCGACTGTCTCATCAATGGCCTGGACAGTTGAAGGCCAGGCAGGCGGCCACACAAACTCGTGCCGCATGTGAACCATTGCATTTGCATCTGCCTTCCGGTGCCCTTCTTGAGCTAGTCGAGGCACAACACCACCCCATTGCTCATGAATGCCAGCCTTTGGGCTATCTACGCTGCTACACGCCACAAACTGCAAATGTGGATAAAGTAAGCGTGGTGAGTTGTGAGATCGATCCAATCTCCCAACACTCCGGCCTGAGAAGCTAGCGCTTCACCAAGAATCTTGCCATCGCCCCTATGGGCGTGACATTGCGAGTGTGACATGACATCAAGATTCCAATGATTCCTATCCGTGACCCGGAAGCTATCGATGTCCATGGCCCATGGCCGTCTGTAAACATTAGTCAATATGATCACACCCTATAACCCCATGTCGCCTCAGAACTGCGGCGCCAGTGTCATCACAACTGGACTCAATTCCAAGGACGCGCCTGAGGCAGATTTTACAATCCCTAATCCAGAAATCCATTCCAATTGAAATCTCAAACAGGTGCGCACCATTGCAGCTTGTCTTCAGGCAAAGCTCGGCAGTTCCTGCAACTCTTGGAGAATGTCAATCAACAATGGCACAGCAAGCAGGACGTTCAATAGTGAGGAGCCTTGGCCGTGACACTGGCGTGCTTGACAACGGACCAGCCTGGATAGGCATGTATGGGGGCGAAGGGGCAAATCATGACACTGCAATTTGCAGGATGGCCTGTTTTCTTATTTTTGTCAAGTCGCTGCATGGCACTCTGAGAACACGGACGCATCAAAAGTCTTTCTTCAAACAGCTTTCTACAGCCAACGACCTGCTTTGGTGCAGTCTCCTCCCGAGAACTTTCTTCACATCACGTTTCACTTGCGACAGGGAGGCATCGTCCGAGCGATCAATTGCGGTGCAACTTCACCTGGAGGATTCTGCGAAGTAGCTCGACATCAATCTTTCAATTGCATTTTGGGCACCTGGGATGGCTGACTGCGCGCCCCGAAGCAGCAGTTTTTCTGATTCCCTGCAAATATCTACAGAAACACCGTAGTCCAACTGCAGTGCCTCGATGTCAGCACACATGGAATCAAAATTGACGTTCATATGGGGCAAACTTCCCCATCGACTGCATGAAGGCTCAACCAATACTTGCACACCTTCGTGAGAATATCTCTGGAACGTTTGTTCACAAACATCCTCTTCAAGTTCCGACAGCGGCACACCGGCGACTTCCACAATAAAATCATCAGCTCGCAAACCAAATGAATCTTTGACCTGGTTCACCCGTATCCCCCACCATGTCGCTGCCCAGGTGAATTGCAAACTAGGCAGGGCCATACGCTTTCTGGGCTGCAAAAATCCTGGCTTGTCAAAAACGAAGAGTTGCTCCGGGTGCAAACGTTCCCCATCTTCTCGTCTTGCCTGCCTCAGTCCCAGAAAAATTGCAAAATCAGGTCCTGATCCTCAAAACAGAGAAGCCTCTCGTCGACCCTGAGTTTCCCCACAACCCCACCCACCCCACCATTCTTGCAGTGGTGAGCCACCGCTCTAGGTTGAGGGCTCGCTCTGCTTGCTCGTCACCTTGCATGAAATTGAAAATGAGTCGCAAAGAATGCAACAGCACCAACTGCGACACGAAAGCAAACAGTAACCAAGTCAAGCTAAAGAAGACTGCTCGGAAGATCACACCATGCCGGCCTTCAATCTCTGATCGCCGCTTGAAAGCCTTTAGCCGCTGCTGCTGAAGGAAAGACTCATGTTCTCGAAAGCGGTCGTCGACACGCTGGTGACCTAGCGCTAGTTCAGGGAGAACGAATAACAATGCCGCAAACAATAATGTTGCAAATGGGACGTTACTGTGTGCCGCCCAAGTACTGAACCCACTGAAGTTCCACTTTGCCTCCTTCTTCCTAGTTTCTATGTGCTGTCGCTTTTCTTCTTCGACTTGGCTTGATGATGATTTGAGGTCATTGAGGCCTTAGCGATGGAATGTCAAGAGAATGCGGGGACGTATGACAAAGTGGCCAGGGAGCCTGTTCCTTCATGGAGGCTTGGCCAAAGGTGCGCATCAGCTCGACTGGCAGTGTAGTAACCTTGCAGCTGCAGAAGCTTTAGCCTGGAATATCTTTCACATCATTCTGATTTCACAAGTTGTGAGATGATCATCTCTCGAGCAAGACACTGCTCAAGCTGGTGGCTTGAGAGGATCCTGAGCATCCGAAAGTCACGGCAGAGCTGGAGTTGTCTCCACACATACGCCTGCATTGGTCTGCCACGGGGAACATCATGCAGCGAAACATTTGTCAGGCTTGCCATACCACCAGCGTCAAGAAGTGTGACGGAAAGGTTGCCGGCTCTTGACTTTATCCGGCCTGTCTGGCTCCAGTTGCTTCTTGGACTTCAAGGGGTAGAAGCTGCCAGTGGCATCTGCACGGAGTGTGCTCGGAACAAAATCTTCATCCTGGTAGGGCGAAGAAATCCCCGTCCCTTAGGACTCAATGCCTTCAAAAGATCAGACTCTTGGGGTCTCTTGGGCCTCTCTATAGCAGCTAAAACAGCACAGTGTAGCACTGGTGCACCCCACAGAAAAAGGCACACTCAAAGGGTATGGATGGCAAGCACAGCACGCAACAATGGAATCAAGGATGCAGCCTCAACAGCGCATAGCACTCAGTACCGTTTACCCCTGGCTCTTTGGGAAACCAATGGGGAAAATATCAGCTCCAGCCTAGTACTCAAGGAACTTGAATGCAGTTTAAGGTTGCTTTCACAACTTCACAACGTTTCTTGTCATCATTGGCTGTCCCTGAGTGCAAGTCAAGCACCCCCCATTTACAACTCAAACACTCCTGAGGAAAAGTTGAGGTGCTGGGCTCAGAGTCTGGTTCTGAATCCTGGAGCCCTTGAGGAGCAGCTCGAACACCAACCACCACCTTCTCCTCAGATTAGCAGATTGAGAAGACCAAGATTAAATTGGAAAGATCGAGGAATTGAGTTGCATTCTTTATGTAGAAAAAAAAGAAAATATATATATACCAAGACAAAAACGTAATCATACAAATGTAAACATACATATTGTATATATATATACACATGTTGGGGGGTAGGCTGGGAAGACCGGGAAAGGACGTAAGTTGCAACTAACATCTATATAGTAACTAGTAGTTTCCTGTAGTTTCCTGTAGCTTCCAGGCAGGACACAGAAGAGCTTGGTTTCTTCAAGGAAGCTCCCCAAACGAATTTTGGGTGGAAGCTTCCTTGAAGAACCCTTTGCAGGTTTTGACTTCCTCAAGACACGTATTTTGAATTAAACGTGTACCCCGTTGAGCTGCAACTCGAAGAACTGAAGAGGTGTAGCGGAGGACAAAAGGTAGGTAGGCAGGGGAGGGATTGTGCATGAATGCCTAGCTAGAAATTGGGGTGTCCACATGCTCTAGGCGGAATCGTGACGGGGTGCCCACCCTTAATTGACAAAGGTGTGACATCCTTAAATTCTTTGAGCATCTTCGAATCAATTTGTGCATGGGCTGTTGCCATGCATGAATCAACGAGTCATTTTGGGTTTCGCAATGCTTCACACATTTGGTCAGACTAGGTCTGCCATCTCTGTACACAAGCACAAATGCTCTACATACATTTTTGCAACGTCACTTGGAAAGCCTCTAGCTGTGGAGAGGGGATTTCCAAATACATATTACTATTTGGGGGTGACTCGACACATTATTTACAGCAGACTCCTGCAGAGGACCACCATTACATCCGGGAAGGGGACGCCCGGGCTGTGTCTTTCAAAGTAACCATCTTCCGGTACTACAACTCTCTTCTGCTCCTCTGCTGGCTTCAGGATGGCGGAACATGCCCCAAAAGCACCCTTGGCTTGGGGTTCCATATGAAATTTCAGGGTTGGACCCCGCATGTATACATGAAACAATCATCATGTAGAAGAATGCCCACAGGGATGTTACTATTAACACCCCCCCACCCCCCTCCCCCCCTTCCCAACCCCATCTGACCTGAACAACAAATGTAAACTTCATCAAAAAATGAGCACCTGTATGGAGACCTGGCCCAACAACATGCCATGTACACGGCGCATCAATTCAATTTGTGTGTGCGCAGGTGAGCGAAATCTGTGTTTGCAGGTGAGTTTGTGGTACCAGGCACCTTCCCTCCCTCCCTTCCTTCCTTCATTCCTTCATTCATTCGTTCACTCATTAATATCATTCATGAATGCGTTCCTTGGTTCATTCATTCATTTTTTCTTTCATTCATTCATTCAATCTTTTCTTTCGTTGCATTTCATTTCATTCCATTTCATTTCATCTCATTCATTTCATTTTTTCTTTCATTCATTCATGCATGCATGCATCCATTCATTCATTTGTGCGTTCATTCATTCATTCATTCATTTTGCTTCACTTCACTTCACTTCATGTCATTTCATGTCACGTCACGTCACGTCATGTCCTTTCTTTCCTTTCTTTCATTTCATTCATGTCATTCGTTCACTCGTTCATTCATTCATTCATTCATTCATTCACTCATTCATTCGTTCACTCATTTATTTATATCATTCATGAATGCGTTCCTTGATTGATTATTTCATTCATTCGGGCTGCGGGTTTTCTGTTCCCACTATGGTGTGTTTGGTTCCTGTGGTGTTTCCTTTCCCGAAATGGTGTTTTCTGTTCCCGCGAATGCTTTGTGTTCACGCAGGTGTTATCTGTTCCCGCCGGTGAGTTGAAATGTTACCGCTTTCCAATTTTACGTTCCCGAAAAGAGTTTTCTGTGTCCAGCAGTGTTTTCCGTTCCCGTGCAGGAGTTTTCTGTTCCCGCCGCGTTAGCGGTCAAAAAAACATTGAAAAACTGCGTAGACTGGTGCTTTCTGTTCCCGCATGGTTCGGGTGAGGTCCTGTGTATGTTCGTTCGACGACGATCAGTACCAGCAGCAGCAATACGACTCTACTGGTACTGATGGCACTACGAGTGCTAGGCCAAGTCCTGGCGACGATTAATGCTATACTACTACGACTACTGCAACTACTCCTACGACGACAACCACTACCACTACTACCACAACTACCACCACCACGACAACTACCAGCACTACTACTACTACTCCTCCTCCTCCTCCTCCTGCTGCTGCTGCTACTGCTACTGCTACTGCTACTGCTACTGCTACTGCTACTGCTACTACTGCAATTTCTGCTACTACTGCTACTAGTACTACGCCTACTGCTACTAGTACTAGAGCAGTTGCACTTGCAAAGAACACCCGCGCACGACCGCTGCACGAGCTTTCGCATTTTCGGCTCAAACAGCACGGTTGCAGCGTGCGTTCGAGGCTGCCCAGCATCCAATCAGAGGCATCACCTGCGCGAGGGACGACAGCGACATAGAAAAGAAAAGCATAAAGTAGCACAGAACGCTGCACGCCTGCGCTGCTGTTTCGCAGTGGTAGCGCGGTAGCGCGCTTGTAATCAAGCTTCTCCTGTTGTGGGCCAGGCTCGGCAGAGCGTTTCCGACCTGTCTTCGCATTGCCCATGAGAGGCAAAGGGTGGAGACGATGTCCAAGGAAAGAAGGATGCCAAAGTCACAGGCTGAGACATCACGGCTGCGCCTGGAAGACAGCACGGAGGCTTGGCAGTTGCAGTTCGCGCGCCTGGTTCAGAATTCCGCGCTCATGCCATAACTTGGATCGCTGGCAGCTATATATGATGCGCGTGCCAAAGTGCGCGGCGCGCAGATTCAAAGGTAGCAGCCGTTCATTCTGCAAACCGTGCTGCAGCAGTGCGACCAGCTTGGGACAAAGCGTGGCTGCTGATGAGGCTGGGGTCGATGTCCTCGGGTCGGATAGCAGGAATACAAGAGACACACAAACGTGTTTGCAACAGCTCGGGTTGAATCGGACATAGTACGAGGACGACTGCTACTGCTACTACTAGTGTACTATGTACTGATACTACAGGACTTCTACGACGACTACTACTACTGCCACTTGGCCGAACTTGTGCCACACACTATACCCTCATGTCATTTGAGGGGTCCTGAGCCACTGCATTGTAGACCCCAAACCATGGGCCCAATGCTTATCGCCTACCCCCGGTATTCCCTACCACGCGAGACACCTCCATGAAAGCATCATGTAAGCTTGGTTTTTCCTCCACAGTCCTAGCTGACAACAGTCCAGTGGCGTTGAAATAACCCGCGCTGCACTGCACAGTCTCCTTGTTTCTTCTTTGCAGCGAACACTTGTTTTATTTGGATCTGGTGTGCTGCCGGGCAAACCAACCAAGCACGCAACAAACCAACCAACCAACATGTGGAAATAATCCGCGCTGCGCAGTCTCTTTGTCTTTTTGTCTGCCCCTGCGCCACGAAGCCTGCTCCAGCTCCAACGCTTCTCCCACCTACTTGTGTGGGTACGCGCGACTTTAAGTCGCCCCCCAGGTTGTCAACGCACGACACAGTCGCAATATCGCTGACGTTCTCCTATCATACCCTTCCCAGATGCGGGTCTTTGCATGGAGCGCGCTCTATGCGTGGAACTTTTGGGGTTGGGCAAAGTCACACCGACATATCTCCTCAATTGCGCTGTCCTCCAAGAGGTTGCGGCTGCAGCAACTTTTCTCCACTCACGCGACATTTGTGTTTCATTGCTGGCCATATCAAAACACCGCCAACAACCAACGGGCACACAAGATCACAGAATTGCCGGGAACAAAAAACACCTTGACGGCGTTGCCGGGAACAAAAAACCTTGGCGGCTACAAAAAGCACCCCACTGGCGGGAACAGAAAACACCTGCAGGAACACAAAACACCCGCGGGAACAGAAAACACCATTCCGGGAAAGGGAAACACCACGGGAACAAAACACACCAAAATGGGAACAAAAAACACTATATCGTTCATTCGTTCATTCATCATTCATTCATTCATTCATTCATTCATTCATTCATTCTTTCTTTCATTTCATTTCATTTCATTTCATTTCATTTCATTTCATTTCCATTCATTCAATTCATTCAAATCAACTCAACTCAACTCAACTCAGTTCAGTTCAAATCATTCATTCATTCACTCATTCATGCATTCATTCATTCATTCATTTCTCCATTTCGTTTCATTTCGTTCCATTCCATTTCATCTCATCTCATTTCATTTTACGTCGTTCATTCATTCATTTCGTTCATTCCCCCATTCATTCGTTCGTTCATTCATTCATTCCATTTCATTTCATTTGATTTGATTTCATTTCATGCTTCATTGAATCCTTCTTTCATTTCATTCATTCATTACATTTCGTTAGATGTTTTTCGTGTCATTTCTTTTCACCCATTCATTCATTCAATCATTCATTCATTCAGCCCAGCCAAGCGCGTGCTAACCGAGCAGCGCGTGCACAACCGAGCCAATCCTTACGCGCGCGCAGGCGAGCAAATCCCGCGTGCCCAGCCGAGGCTCCGTTGGGGGGCACCTGGCCCGAAAGAACATTATCGCCCATTGAAAAACCTTCCGAACCTTCCTCGAAAAAGCAGGCCAATAGAGAATTGATCCAGGGGGGGCATATTCGAAACGTAACATTACTTGAACCGTGCAAATCATTCTAAGAGGCACGGCTTTATTCACGCCGCTCCGCGGCAAGGTCCGCCCGCACTGCCATGAAACAGTTGCCCAACAAAAACGGCGAACACTTGTAATCCGCTTTGGCTTTTGGATGTCCAGCCCAAATGATTCGAACAGGTACTAGACAGCTATGTTGCCATGATCAATAGCGAGTCGGATGAGTGATGGCATGACGCAACAACGATCGTAGAAGGTAATACTCAAGAAGTATGCGCTATCTTCATTCATCACCATATATCACAAGGGTTCATCATGTTGCCAATTTAGTAAGTGCGGATCCAAACAGATTGTTGCGTCCAGCTCCCGCTCCCAACAGATCGTGCTCCCTTCGCGGCCGTCGGCTGCTCTGTCGCGGCCATCGGCCATGGTGAACTGGAACTGTATATAGAAAGAAAGAAAGATAGATAGATAGATAGATCGATCGATCGATAGATAGATCGATCGATAGATGGATAGATAGATAAATAGCCATGGCCCAAAACCCCGCTATTTACAGTTTTTTGAACCTGCTGTCAAAAACACACCGCAATTTGTGACGTTTTCAACAACATGGTCGCCAAAAACACTGCTACTAGCGAGGTTTTTACATTTCGCGCAAAGACGTCAAGCCTCGGCAATGCACAACAACACTGCAAAAGCCAATGTTTCTGCCCAACAAAAACGGCGAAAACCATCACCCAAACAGCTCCGAAACCGCAAAATCTGCCCCCTCGGCCTCCCGATGCCTCCCGACAAGACACATAGGAAAATGTGAGCAAAAAGAAACACGCCTCAAAACCGAAAATTGAAGACCAAAGTAAAAAAACACAGTGTTTTTCACTTTTCTCTTGCCGGTTCCGGGCAGGCGCATGCACGAGCTAGTCCATTCCGTGCTGTAAAAAACAGTGTTTTTGAAGTCCGCCGTCGCGCTACCCATCAAAAACCCATGGTTTTTGCCAAAAATTGCCCCCCCCCAGGTAAACCTGTACCTCACAGTTGTTTATGCCATCCGGATGATCACGCCCTGAGCACCGTCGGTGCGGGCGGATTTCGATACGTTTTTGCTAAAGCACGATGTACTCAGACAGCGAGGCTACCTTTCGTGATCACATCCTCCCAAGCAGGGTCAGTGCGACAAAGGCACTGCTTGTTTGTGCAGCCGGCGTCTCTCAAGTAGCCTCAAGCCTCAGATCTCAAAACCCTTGTATGGAAGCCTCTCCAGTGATGATTTGCACACATGCTCTCAGCACACCTTCACCCCGTAAACCTTCCAATGCCCAACGACCCAGGGCATCTGCGAAGGACTCCTCAATCTCCAGAACCTCTGATAAATCAACAGCTCCAGCTTGCTGACACCACCTGGGCTTTGCCAGACGGTTCTTTTCCTCTGGTCATGGCTGTTGTACCCCAATTGCTGCAGATGGGGGAGGTATCCCTCATGTGGAAATCGGCTCTCCACGTCACACATGCGGCAAAAACTATCAGTGCATGTGAGGACACCTTTGCATCCAAGTGGCGAATCTGCTGTTGGAATGTAGGCATCAAGCGAAGCAGCTTGCAGAAGCTCTTTCAACCCAGGGACACGCTTTGACATTCATAAGACGTCTAGCACAAGGCGCAGAACCGCCTCTATAACTCTTGCATGTCAGCTACTCCCTTGACCCGAAGCCTGCCAGGCTTTTCGACTTGCAAGTACACAACTACACGGGCCAAAAAGCAGCAGCAGTTCAGCAGCTCAGCAAGCATGAAAGGTAATCCGCCGACCCCGGCCTATAGCCAAAGCCTAGGCGGGGAGGCGCCTGGGACACCGCAGGGTGAAGCAGTTGGCCAAGCCTTGCAGAACCCTTCCAAGCACTTCCAAAGGCATGTGTGCAGGTGCATTGTGGTTGGCCGCGGCCTCTCGGTGGCCTGTCCGAGGCCTGCCTCTCCTCTTCTTATGGGCTTTTCCGAAAGCAACGTTAGACACCCACGGGCCCCGCCCTCAAACGCTTCTCGGCAGCCGGCAGGCCTGCCCCGGCCTCTCTGTGGCTGTCCGAAGCCTGCCTCTTCTCTTCACCCACGGGCCCCGCCCGCAAACGTTTCTGCAGGCCGCAGCTTGGCCCACAAAGCTTCTTCTATGGGCTTCCGAAGGCAACGCGGCCTCTCTGTGGCCTGTCCGAAGCCTGCCTCTTCTCTTCACCCACGGGCCCCGCCCGCAAACGTTTCTGCAGGCCGCAGCTTGGCCCACAAAGCTTTTTCTATGGGCTTCCGAAGGCAACGTTAGACACCCACGGGCCCGGCCCTCAAACGCTCCTCGGCAGCCGGCAGGCCTGCCCCGGCCTCTCTGTGGCCTGTCCGAAGCCTGTCCGAAGCTTGCCTCTTCTCTTCACCCACGGGCCCCGCCCGCAAACGTTTCTGCAGGCCGCAGCTTGGCCCACAAAGCTTTTTCTATGGGCTTCCGAAGGCAACGTTAGACACCCACGGGCCCCGCCCTCAAAGGCTTCGTGGCCTGTCCGAAGCCTGCCTCTTCTCTTCACCCACGGGCCCCGCCCGCCACGCCTAAGGCTAGAACACCCATCTTCTTTCCGCAGACGGGCAGCCACCGGAACGACACTAACGCCTTCAGTTACACATGCTACACTCCTCTTGAAAAGGGGTCGGCGGCACCCGGGCGAAGCCCTTACAATAAGCTAAGGCAACCAGGAATCATGACTCCTAGCACATGGTATACTAAATATGCTTCATGTATGTATCACCACGGCTACTGGCTGTTGCGTCATGCCTGGAAAGCCGGCACAGTGTGATTGCCGTTCCTGGGAATAACGAGATCAAATCATAGACTCTGTGACTCTCGATTGCAACGCCAGTGACCCAGTCATCAAGTCCATACCAAATTTAACCACAGGCGCATTGTGCTCGATCCCAACCCTCGCCGCAAAAGCATGCGCCAAGTCCCGAGCTGGTGCTGCTCAGGATCACTTGGTCTGCCAAAAGGCCACACAAACGGATACAAAAAGACCTCAGAAGGCACACAGGGGGGCGCACCTTGACCGGAGCGGGCCACCATCTCGTCGCCATCGGTCCACAGCCTGGGCTCGAGGCATTCGAAAGGCCCTGAGGAGCATCGACAAAGTTTATGGAAATGGTGTTTTACTATTTGTCTATCCATTTTTTACATAAACATGTCTGGTTCTCTTCCATTCTTTCCCTTCGTAATGTTGAAAAAAGTCGCCCCTTGCCATCTGGAGCCCACCTGAAGCACGAGAAATGTTGGTGGCCAAGCAACTGTCCAAGCATTCAATTGCCACCTGCTCAGTCCAAGATCTTAAGGATGGCACCGCTCTCAATGTTGCTGTCCGTCCTTCTGCCTATACGAAGAGCCACACTGCAAAGGCAAAACAAAGTGTGACGTCTTTCACGTTGTTCCAATGCTGCCGCTTACTTTCGTCATGTCCATGCCAAAGGACCAACCTAGTTACTAGGGGCTCCTGGCATCGCTACTAGGAGCAAGGACGCTACTCGGAGCACGGTATGCATGGTCCCCCTGTGGCAGAGGCACACCTGAGGGCCGAAGCCCTCGAAAGCCACTTCCAGACGATGTGGGCTCTCCTCTAGTCGGCGGCTCTCATCAAAAGAGATGGAGATGAACTTAACAAGGACTAGGTCTAAGCACTCCTTTGGAATTCAATGCAACTGTCATGAACTTGCTTGCATTCTTAATTGAAGTTGTTTCACTTCAAGGATTTTTCTCCCGCCTCACTTGCGATTTGTTCTCCCAAACGCTCGGGCCACTCCACGAGACAAACATCTTGCCAAATAGCCTGGCCAAACTTGTCAAGACAAAGCATGCAGCTGTGACATGCTCCGTTCAACATGAAAACATATTGAAAACCATGTGCTTGTAGTAGTTGCTTGGCCTGCGTCTTGCTTGTCGTACTATATTTGCCCACACCCTTGTAGACAAAAAGTACGGCACGAGTGGTAGAGTTGTGTTGTGAGGACACAGGCGACACAGGCAACTTCTCGTCCAAAGAGCGACTCCAGTTGAAAAAGCTTACAACACAAAAGTCAAAAGGCAACGGGGGAGAGCTGCGTAACTGCGCAAGAAAGAGCAAAGGATTCTATTGGCACGCTCGCACCGATGGTGGATCCACAGGTTTCCACCCCTAAGGGTAGTGGGTTTATATATATATATACATACATACATTAGATACACCACAGGTGAGAAAGTGGTTGGTTCTGTGCTCTCCAGAATTAGTGAAGGAGTAGGATCTCAAGGCTGGTGCTCCGTTGCTCAAGCTCGTGCATGTTGCCTGTGTTGGTGCTGTGGTGCATTTTCTTCTGTTTTGTGCGTTTGGGGCTCTTAGACGAGTGTCTGCCACTCGCAGATCGCACCGGCTCTAACTTTATGCATGTGATGTTAGATACTCAGCAGGCCCGAACATCTACATCTACATCATATTATAATCTACATGGTGGTTCAAGCAAATTAGTGTTCATAGCATGCTGTGAGATAGCCTGATGTGTGAGTACTTCCACCAAGCTCAAGACACGTGTAAAAATGTGCGTGTGCGCGCCAACGCCCGCTCCGTGTCGAAAGAGACAAGAACAAGAGTCCGTGGAGTTCTCCTCAAAGTCAATCAGCGATGCGATCTTGCCAACTGGTAATCGGTAAGGATCGATGTGGTGCACGGGGCCTTGAAAGTCGGCAAGGAAATTGCACAAACAAAGCATCTATGAGCTGTTTGAGGCCATGACAGTCAGGCACTAGGGAACTGTTACCGGCTTGAAAGGCCTGCACCTGGACTTCACGGAGCACTACTCTTTTTGTATGACATGGTCGACAAGCCCTTCTGTCAGAACCTTCTGCCGTATTTCAGCTCTGAACCGGGTCTTTGGAGGGTGGTGTGCCTGCGCAACACTTCACAACTTGTGAATGTCTGTGTGCACGGGTGTCTGGCTATCGTCTCAGGCATTCGCACGCACTGCCATAGGAAAAATGTAGCCTGTGGGGCACGCCCACTGGCAAACCAAATCGACAACTGTGTCTGTGACTGCTACCCAGTGGCAAGTATGACGGCGACGGCACGTCCAAGGCAGAGTTGCCAAAGAAGGATCTCAGGAAGCCTCTGGCCTGGAGATGGCCGACTCCAAAATGTAATCCTTATGTCATTCCCTTCGAGGCAGTTGCTAGGGACGTCTTCCCAGAGCCCAACTCGCCCCGCAAGAAGAACAAATCTCCTGAGCATCTCGAAACTGCGCACATGGGAAGCAAATGGAGCAACAGCCTAATAGCGATGGCCTCCAACCTAGTAGCAAAGGCCTCCAACCTAATAGCCAAATAATAGCGGTGGCAATGGCCTCCAACCTACTAGCAACAAAGCATCCAGATTCATGAAGAAAAAGAAATGATTGCCCAGGCCCGGACCTCGCTGCGCTTCATGGGCCAGCGCTGCACCCAAAGCCTCCGTCGCATCAACATCTGGCCTCACTCTCCAAAAAAAGCCTCTCTCGGCTGACTGAAACAGTGCACAAACAGCTTTTCAGGAGCTCCTTTTCCTCACGAAATGCACTCCAAACATTTGGCCCCCTATCCGAAAAAGAGGCAGCCTGAAGTGAAGCATTCTTCTTTCTTATAGAAGCCAAGAGCCTACGCAGTGAAACCAAGAGCAAAAGCGTCCCAGGCTGGAAAGCCTGGCTGCCTAGCAGAAATTCAAACAACCGTCACCACAGCTGATGGGAAGAAGCATCAATCTTTAGAAAAGAAAAAGACTATATAATTAGTTATATAACTAGTAAGAGAAACAGAAACGGACATAAATACATAAATGCTTGGACACGCCAAGCACGCACGCACCTTGCTCCAAAGGGCGTTGCAACCTACCGCTAGCGCCGGGGGCTTCTTGAGCGGCGGCGAGAGTTGCGGCGCCGCCCCGCACCCTGACCAACAGACTTTTTGACAATGTTCTGGCAAACACGGGGCTGCGAACCAATGCCATTCAATTATTCAACTCCTTTGGCTCAAAATGATTCCGCTCTGAAATGCCATGTGGCCTTCTTGGAGTTTTTCAAGATCATCCTTAGCGACCCACTCTCACCAATGTCAGTGGGTGTCACGTCCCAAGTTACAGCTTTTGACAAAAAATAGTTCCATCTAGGTGAGCCGCTCTTGCTGGTATGCAGTTGTGAGCTCAGCCGTCATAGTACCACCACTGTGCGGTATATTGAAAAGTTCCTCATTCAGCATTGGATACATGTACATTCTTTGACACCGATGTCGTGTTCAACAGCATTCAAACATATAAATATATCTATGCATTATGCATGTATATATATATATATATATGTGCGTGTATACCTGTACAGTACTGTGTATATTACAGTATCTACATTCACTTCTTGTCCAACGTCCAGTCGATGGTGCCTCTTGGACTTTTCTCTTTCGATTGCGGAAAAGCCAGGCAAAACGCTACAGCTACAGCCCAGGCACCACGCAGGCACGCGCAGATTCGTGATTGGTGGCCTCTATCATGGCATACCTAGCGTTCACAAATTGGCTCTTTCAAGAGGCGTTGCAAGGCCAACCACATCATGCAAAGGTCCGACCTGCCGTGGGTCGGATGCAAGCCAATCCTTGCACAGAGCTACATGGTTCAAAGCTGTGGCACGGTCATAAACCTAGGGTTTGAACACAAACTCACCGATTCATTCTGAATTCTTTATGAGAGAGAGTCGTTGCTTTTTCAATGTTCTTTCCCATGTTCTTGATGTCGGTCGGATCCTCAATATCCTGTCAAACTGACGCTCTGATTGTAAAAGCAGGAGCCTTGTAGCCTTTCGTACTGTACTCACCTGACTTGGTGCCGTGCAAGAACAGTCCAATTCGCAGTCCTCCGGAAGGTTCTTCACAAAAACCAGGCAAGTCTTACTCTTTTCCAAGAAGTTCTCGAACTCTTCTTGGGACATCACCTTCGCCTCACTGCCAGCGTATTTTACCCATACACTGCTTTCAGGCTGCACTTTGCCGGGAACACAGCCACAGAACCTCACCTTCATCTTGGGTATTCCAACTTTCCACTTCTCAATGGCTGCAACCATCTTTTCGGCCTTGCGGCTTTGTTCACCCAAATGTTAATCATATCTTTGGGCAAGCGCCAAGCACGCAACTGGCATGAACCCTTGCACACAGGAACGACCAATGCCCAATCGCATCCACTGGCGCTTACACACTCACAAACACACACCAACCTCAAGTATATATATATATATACGTATAATGTGAATTTGACGCCGTCAAATGCTCGCTAAACCGAGGTCATGAGCGAACACCGCTGCCTGGGCTGAAAACCGCCCCCCGACATACCTTACCTTATGTCCATCCTAGAAGGGTGGGCATGCACTGTGCACAATGAGCCATGGCCGCGATGGCGTGAAAAGGACGCGCCTTTCTTCGAGCGAGAGACAGATTCATTTCGGCAAGTTCACTTCGTGTGGGATTTGCTTGAGGGTTGCCACTACCAACCTCAAATTGGTAGCGGAGCCCCTGACGGGGCCCGCTGCTGATTTGCTGCTTCGAGATTGGCGAGCGCTATGGCAAGTTCGCAAGGCGTGGACGCCTCAAAGGACTCATGGGTCCCGGTCTTCAGCAACCGACCCACCGACTACAAGGAGTGGAGAGCCAGAATCCACTTGTACCAGAAGAAGATGATCCTGCAGAAGAAACCGCAGGA